TAACAAAGGGTGGTCTCTGACTTTTACATAGTACTGTAGGTGTGTGCAACATGTGCCAGTAAGACAGAGTGCAAAACTGACCTCTTAATGATCTGGCTTCTAGAAATACTCATATACAGTATTCTCTACATGGTGTGTTGTGTTTTCCAACTCATAGTAAGACCTAACAAAGAACAGAATGCATTTAATCTTATAGATAATCTGGAACTATTTTAGTGCTCCAAATTTGCTGTTGGGCACATTGGGCTGTGATGCATTTCTCCCTTTCCTCACTTTTTTCCCTCTAAGGTGGAAGACAGGAACACAGGTAATTGACGCTGTCACAGCAAGAACACTAGCTAGCAAGACAATAAGGAAATAATGACTATCATAAAACTTTAGATTAACCTGTTACAATACCTTCATGATTCAGTTACCCAATGATTTGATATTGATTAAACTGTTCTCATTCTTTTGCTTGTTAAAGACCAATTTGAACCTCAAACTGGATGCAGTTCGATGCCCCACAGAAGCCTATGGGAGGTAATATCTGCTGCTAACTTTAAAAGCATGCATTTCATAAAAAAACACATTTTTTTAATATTTTTGGAATGTTGTACTATTTTTTAAATTGGATTTCCAATTATGGAAAGTACAGCATGTAGTGTCATCAGCTCCTGATCATTGGCCCCAGAGACGCAGAAAGCTCTAAATCACTTCTCTATAGTTCGGGGTCTACTGGGTGCTCAGCAAAACTTAAATAAGAACATGAAAGACATCCCGAACACAGGCATTGGTCGGTTACTGTAGCGCCTTAATCTCAACCATATGCTGAAACACTCAGGCCCCGGTGAGCAAGTTCAGAATGAGCGAGAGCCACGAGCATCTCAATCAGAGACCTCCACTTATGCTTTAACCAATTTAAAGGTTCAAAATATTTCTTAAAATAAATGCATTTTCTGGTTTTCAGAATTTCTGATGTAAAAATATACAGCACTAAATATTACCTACACACTTCAGAAAGGATGATAAACATGAGTTCTATATAGAACCATTTCATGCTTAATTGGTTCTATGCATGGTGAAACAGTTCTTCAGATTGAGAATGTGATGTATGGTTCTATAAAGATCCTTTTTGAAGATGGTTCTATATAGCACCAAAAAGTGTTCTGCTATTGTTACAAGCTTGATATTATACACTCTTAAAAAAAGAACCACTGTTTTTTCACCAGTTCTTTAGTAAAGACAACAGTTCTATATAGAACCATGAACACTCAAAGAACAATCTGCATGCTTAAATGGTTCTTTGCATGACGAAATTGTTCTTTAGGTTGATGGAGAATCTGTCAAATATGGTTCAATACAGAACGTTTTTGGAAAGGGTTCTTCTATTGTTACAAGCTTGACATCACTCTTAAAAAAAGACAGCTCTTCAAAGGTTCTTTAGTAAAGACAATGGTTCTATATAGAACCATGAACACTCAAAGAACCATTTTCAGAATTTCTGATGTGCCCTTTAAGTAAAATACAGCACAAAATATTAACTACACACTTCAGAAAGATGGCAAACATGAGTTCCATATAGAACCATTTCATTCTCAGTTGGTTCTTTGCATGGTGAAATGGTTCTTCAGTTTGATGGAGCATGTGTTGCATATGGATCTATACAGCACCAAAAAGGGTTTTGCTATTGTTACAAGCTTGGTATCACACACTCTTAAAAAAGATGGTTCTTCAGGGGTTCTATAGTAAAGACAGTGGTTTGACATAGAACCATTAACACTCAAAAAACAATCTGCACATTTAATGGTTTTTCAGACTTATGGAGACTGTGTTGTATATGGTTCTATATAGAACCTTTTTGGAAAAGGTTCTTCTGTTGCTACAAGCTTGACATCACTCTTTAAAAGGATGGTTCTTCAAGGGTTCTTTAGTAAAAACAATGGTTCTATATAAAACCATTAACAGTAGAAAAACCATTTGCATGTTTAAATTGTTCTTTACATGGTGTAATAGTTTCAGATTGAACCCTTTTTGAAAAGGGTTCTTCTACCGTTATAAGCTTGGCATCCTAACAACAGCAGAACCGTTTTTGGGTGTTATATAGATCCATCTATAACACGTTCTCCATCAATCTGAAGAACCATTTCAACATGCAAAGAACCATTTAAGTATGCAAATGGCTCTATATAGAAGTCATGGTTCTAAATAGAACCTTTGCTTTCACTAAAGAACACTTGAAGAACCATCTTTTTAATAGTGTAGCACAGCCAGTCCGCGGGGCAGAGAACTGCGTCGCCAATATATAAACGGATGTGTCTGTGCTGCGGCGCCCGTGTCTCTCTCTCTCCTACCGACCGAAACGGATACGCTCGACTTTTACGCAGTGATTAATCACACGGGCGGACACGGCATGCTGAACGTGGCCCCCGGTCGGCCGGAGGTGGCGGCCGGCACAGAGGCCACTTTGTGCGGGAACACAAGCGATTGTTCGGCCGGGCGACGGAGGCCCGGCGGCGTGTATGAAAGTGCGCATTGTGTGGCTGTTTGGACAACCCCGACGAACGACGTGGTGGACTTCCTGTGCAGCAGCAGACTCTGCTGCCACTGGTGTTGCCCGCAATCCATCACACAAAAGCTTTTCTCCTAGAGATTATTGCGCGATAGTGCCATCTGCTGGTAAGCGCAGGAAATGCGTGAGCAAAACCCTAAACGGGGAAAGTCTACAGCAGTGGGGTCAGCGATTCGGGTTCGGGAGGGCAGCAGAGCTCGGTACTCAAACACATCTGATTCAGCTGAACAGGGCTAAGTTTTCCCATCCTAGTGTTATAGGAGAATTCCACCCATTTTTCAAAATTTCCAAATAATTCAGTCCTTGAGATGTGAACAGTCATTCAGAGGGGTTTGGTGTGAAGTGGTTCATTGTAGAGACAGTGGTGGTGATTGGGACCTGGGGTCGCCATGTCTACAAAGCAAATATAGCCATTTTATTTACCATCCAAAATCAGCAGTGAACCTACATGTGTCTTCTGAGTTTGTATGTAATGTTGATGATGGTAAAACAAAGTTTTCTTTCTGGACTGTTTTGCTTCACAACGCCCAACACGTATCCTTCCGCCATGATTGGATGACAATAAATGGATCCAAATACATTTTAAGCCAAAACTTTACTACAAACTGTCATAAAAAATGTGTCAGACATCAGGCAGAATGTATCTAATCGTTTCGTGTAAAAACCTTCTGTGAGGGAGCTTTTAAAGGTGGACGTCTGGTTCCTGTCAGCATCATTCTGACTCGGCAAGTTTCTCTAGAAAGGAGCATCTCACATCAAACCACTCTGACTTTGTTTACATCTTATTTTTTTTTAAATCGTTGGAGTCCCCCTTTAACTGAGTTTTCACCATTTAAGATTCGTCTTTGTACTAAAATGGGGTTGGGAGACCCAGCCCTGTTATCAAGAATATCACCATATTCTGCACGAGCACTGGAACTGATGACCCCTGATCCACAGCAGTAATCCAGCCTCTGCTCCTTCTGACTACTGCGATGTTTAACTTGTAGGCTTTATAGCTAAACACAGTGTAATTTCTGTGATTTAGTTACTGACACCGTTTCAGCCAAATTAACATAATAAAAGTCTCAGAAGATATCATGATGCCAAAGTTTAGCTGGCTCAAGGCAACTGGTGAACGACCCCAAGTTACTAATGAAAACGAACAGACAGACCACCACACACGAAGAGTAAGGAGACTCCCTCTGCCCGAGGGGTCACTCTGGCCAGCTGCTTTCCCTTTGAGCAGTGGCCAGCCGTCCCATTCTCTCTCAGTATGGAGCCCCTTGGATTTGACTGGCATCTAATGGTGACAAGGCCAAAATGCAGGGTTGAAGTGGAGCGATTTGTCACGGGCAAAATGCTCACCAAACGGAGTAAACAGGGTTTAACACCTGGCTTTTTCCTGAAGCACAGCCCAGCCATATTGTCTCCAGTCCTTAACAAATGCATTCAGATGTAACCTATTCGTTATGAGGACTACGTTATTTGTCTCGTTAAGTACTAAAACTGTTATGCCTGTAGTTTACTCTGCAATAGAATACAAAAAATAAAGACTTGTTTTAATGGTTTAGTTCCAAAGCGCTGACTTAATGTCTTTGGCTGGAGCCCTATTGGACATATAGTGCGCTACACTGGGTGCAAACGCCCTATGTAGTGCATTATACAGAAAGGAGGGAGCCATTTGAGATTAAGCCTTTTAAATTAAGAAACACTCATTCCACTTTATTTGTAGGTCTAATGAAGTAGGACACTTGCAGCCTTTCCTTCAGGTTACAGTGTATGTATGCTGTGGTAGAGGGAATAAACTTAATGGAACGTTAGCGCCATCAAGCGGTGGTGATAGGCAGTGCAGCCTGTCCTCATCCATTCTACTGTACACCTAATCCAAAATACTAACAAATGTCACTGAATAATGAAAACTACTGAGGACTATGTAGCGTAGTCTCATTTGTATGTTTACTGGATCCCACTAGTTCTTTAAGTGCAAATTTAAGGTCAAGCACCACTTTAAGTGTCTGCACATACAAACGAGAACATCTGTTAAATAATCAAATTCAAAAGATGAGCAGTGCATGGACAGAATACCAGCAAAACAGACACCATTCACGGAGCCAGCACAACCATGAGATATATTACAGCAAAGATCTTTTTAATGGTCCCAAATATACCCACCAACTAAGAGTACACTCATGTAAAAGAAAAATGAAGATATGACAAAAAGGAAAAAAAAATTCGATCACATCTAGAGTTCCACTCAATCTTTAATCAAGACGGGCTTACAAATTTTCCAAAAAATCTGCAGTTTCAAAGGGCAAAAAAAGGGTAAAACTAACTCTTCCCCCTAATGAGGTTTTAAAAACCTGTTCAAGTGCGACTGAAAACGTCCTGAACATTTAAAGGCAGGTCTCTTTTTGTCATTTAAAAAAAGGGAGAGGAAGAGAAGAACAGAACGAGGAGGGGGAAAAGAGGAAACCGCTGGCTTTGAAAGAGGAAGAACTTCCGCTGAGCCACGAGGACAACGATGACATCATCAACAACGACAACCCAGACTGCCCCCCTAGTCTCCTGTCAGGCTCCAGAAACAAACATCAAAAGAAAAAAGAAAGAACGAACGAAGGAAAAAAGTGGGAGGGGGGCAGAAAAAGGGGTAGAGGAAGGAGAGAAAGAAAGAAATGGAGATGGAGTCAGCGAAGGTGAGTGGTGGTTCAGGATTGGCTGGCCTGTTCGGGCCATGTGACGTCCTTCCCTGAGACGGGGGGCAGTGTGTCCTGGTCCGAGTCTGGGACGCTGTGTGCGGGCACCAGTCTCAGTAAGTGAGTGTGCGTGCGTGTGTGTTTGTGTATGTATGTGAGGTCGTTTACCCCCCAGTACTTTTAGCTTTGTTGAAATTATTATTTTTTTATTAAATCCTTTTAATAATTTGTCCAAAACCACAGTTTTATCTCCTTGTCTTCGCTCTCGTTCCGCTTCAAGTTTTCTCTCAGCTTCTGTCTCCGGTTGGCACTTGAACTCTCCGCATAGAGACATTCACCTTTTTCGTTCCAAGACCGATTCTTCCCTCTCTCTTGCTCTCCCTTTCTCCATTCTTTGCGTGGCACCCCTTGGACTCCTGCGGGTGGGGGTAGGGGCCGGCATACGTTCTTTTATCCATTCATTCGTTTTTTCATTCATATTGTTTCAGTTTTGAGTTCTAGGCTGAGCACTGAAATAAGTCTGTGGATAAGGCTCCCATCCGAGCTTTACCATGGCGATTGAGCAGGGAGTGTTTTAAGAGCTCAGCTTCGATTTCTTGGACAGTGGAGGACTCCCCTCTTTACTGTCTGAATCTTCCTCTTCCTCGTCATCCTCATCGTCATCCGGATAGTCCACCAGCCCCACCAACCCAGTCTGAGACAAAAACAAAATCAGCAAAAACGTTATATTTATAGGAGACCATGAACACAAGTTTACAGGGCCAGACGTGACCTCATAAAGAAAAGTTTGGTTTAAATGTGGATGGGAATATAGACTTACTGGGGTGAGAACAAACAGAAATTTCTTGTGAAGGTGGTGCTTAAAATATGGGTGATAACGGAAACTTAAAATTGCTCTGGTGTGCTGGTCAGCACTGTCTGACCGACAATGACGTTTTTGTGTGTGCCATGGATGTAAGCTGGTTTGGCTGAAAACTACAAAATAAGATCCATTTAGGCATATAAATGTGTAGGGCTGCAACAAACGACTAATTTGATAGTCGAATAATCTGTCAATTACTGAAATGAATAATCGATTAATCGATTTATTAACTGTTCTGTTTGAACAGTTAAATTTGAATGATTTTGAAACATTTCATTTCAACGGTAACCCTTCGTCCAGCTGCCCTATATGTTCATGTAGAGCTATCCCCTTAAACTGCTAGCAAGTGGTGGCAAACGTTCGCGGAGAACAGAAACCTGCTCTCCTATGTTCACTGAATTTGAACACACCGGCAGCCTTGACGTGAAGACAGCGATGCAATGTTTAAAACTTTAAACGTTATCTGGAAAGTGAAACAGGGTCACTGTGAATAATAGTTACTTGCTTCTCTGTTCTAACGCCATTAACGATTCAAGTGCTATATTTATATAGCACCTTTTACAATTTCAGTTTTAAAGACTTTGTTTTACTTATATGCAACCATTTCCAATTGTAGAGAATGAGGGATTGCTGATAAACGTGCTCCAGCATCGGTATGAAATTCTAATATTCTTCCATAGGTTACTCTGTCTATAAAAGTAAAACTTTATTTTAAGATTTTATCTTTATTTTAAATCTTTATTTAAGATTCATATTACTTTATGTCTACATTTCATGTGTTTGCCGTTTCCATTTTTTTATACATGCTGACTGGTACATTTACTCAACCTCTTGATGTACACATCTTTTCTTGCAGTTGATGTTGTTTATTTTGCTTGTTTTTTAAACTTTATTTAGCAACAATTTTGTAAAAGAGAAACTTCTGAAAGTAATTTATTTCAAGCGGTCATCATTTCAAAGTTTATTCTCATTGACCACAGATTATTAAAGTGGGCTTGCAAGCGTCCAGCAGTAATTTAACATTTTCTGCAATCTATGAAGGTGATTCATGAAAAAAAAAATGCTTTACCTGGCTTGCTAGGTAAAACTAAATCTCTGACAGCAGTTATTTTTGATGTTTAGTCCAATCCGCTACAGATTTTTAGCCAACTACAGTGAGTCAGTTACTTCATAAGCACCGTTAGCTACAATTTTCTAACATTACATACAACATGTTAAACTGGCTAGGTAACATTCAAAAATAGGATAATCTGATGTTTAGTTTTACTGACTACAGCTTATTTTAGCCAACTGGGACTAGTTCACAATGCAAACATTGTTATCTTTATTATTTCTATTGTCCATATCATGCGGTTGTAGAACTTAATGCTGACCCATGACAGTGACCAGCCAGCAAATCAATAACTCACCTTAGTGGTGACAGCTGCCGTCGGTGGCGAGTTCCTGGTCCCTGAGCCTGGGGATCCGGGAGATCCTGGTGAGCCAGGGTGCAGTGAGGCTGAAGGGGGCGACGACAGACTGGGCTTGGGCGAGCTGGTGAAAGACAGCTTAAAACTGGGGCTCTGTCGTCCAGACAGGCTAGACTTCCCCGACAAAACCTCTTTCTCCTCTGTCTCTTTCACTGAGAGAGAGAGAGAGAGAGAGAGAGAGAGAGAGAGGGGTTTGTTAGTAAAAGTAAAACAAACAAGCTTGAGATAATGCGATTTGAATTTTGCCTGTATTGATTTCAGTTATATTTATTTATTATTAATGAGTGGAAGGCAGTTAACTAAGCAGGTTCTAAGTGCCACAATACAGCTCATAATGATTGCTTAGGTTTTGCAGCTGTATCTGCCAAGTAACAAGGATGGTCTCATACATTTCTTTCTTTCCATGAACTTGCTGATGGGATCCATTAGGTCCTCATCATTCTTCATCTTGTCTGAGGGGGGCACCACCGCCTCACCATCCTCCAGGTCATCTTCATCTGTGTTAAACCACATCTCCTCCTCATCCTCTAACGTCCGTGCATCCCGCCGGAATCGATGGTTCCTCAGAATCGACCGCATGCTAATGACACACAACACATACAACATACAACAAAACTTCAGTTACATTGTCTGGTTCCTTCACCATAACTGCTTCATTTACTTCAAAAACAGCTTTTGGACTCAAATCATTCAAAGTTTTTTTTATTCAAGCAATTATTACCACTTTGACATCTCACTCAATCATAACTGGTAAGATAACTGTATAATGACCTGTCAAGCTTAGGGTTGTCCTGCCTTTCCCTCTGCTGCTCATAACGGAGCTTGAGGCCCTTAAATGTCTGTACATAGTCGACATCCTCCAGGGCCTTCCAGTAGTTCTCTATGATATGGGCTGTCAGGGACTTCACATCCTCCTGTAGACAAACAGAAAAAAGCTTTCATAGTTACACAAACACTGCTATATGCTACTTCTAATAATTTTAGGAGGACATTATTGAATTTTATTTACTGAGTAGTAGTGAAAACCAAATATGACTAAGTTTAGACCAGTATATTAATTAAAATGAAACAAAACAAATCTAGGAAACAAAATTAAAAGATGCCCATACTAGCAAGCTTACGATTCACAATAGAACCATGAAGTCTCAAGATACAATACAACTTAAATCTTTCTTTCCTCATAGAACAATGGATTACAAAACAGTGGATTAGTGCACTAACATGTAAATAATGAATATGTAACAAAGATTAGCACGTCAAACTATAATTAATTGTGTAAAGCTATGCTTCTTGGCATGAATGGGACACAAAAAGCACAAAAGGCAGAAGAAATCTTTTCAGAAAGGCAGGAGAGGCAAATCCTGATCAATTAATGACTGAGCTTTAATTTGTACTCACCACACGGACATATTCAAACATCTCTATGATGGCTGAGTTGATGAGGTTGTATCGGGAGCCATTGTTGAGGAAGGCTTTGACCACCGGCTCAAACAGAAAGTTCCTCATGATGTAACGATTGTAGAATTCATCCTTCAGTCCTACGATTTTCCTCATGAAACGCAAAGAACCTAGACAGCCAGGAAGACAAAAATTACTATAGGTGAAAAAGAAAAAAAGGAAAACTTATAAAGAAAAAAGTATGACCAAAAAAAGGGGAGTATAAACTACCGTTTCACCATAATTAACATGAATAGGCTGTAAGTTACTTTAGAATATGTTAATTCCAAATTAGAAAAATAGTAGCTTAAGAGACGTAACCTCTACTGAAGCAAAAATATGTAAAGTGCGCGCATGCGTGGAAATACTCACACAGGGCTAGGAAAGCGTGCTGGGATGCAGTGAGCACCAGCACTCTGCGCAGGATGTCTTTGTTGATGATGTAGTTTTTTATGTGATACGTGTGATGTTCCACACAGAAGGTGAGGAGCTCCACAATCAGTGCCAGCAGCTGGCATGTCTGGAAGTCATCTAAGAAAGCAAACCCTGAGACTGAGACATGCAAACTCTGCTTTGTATGATTGTACTTAAAAATGCCAATGACGTACAGAACGCTTAAATATCCAAGTCAACCCACACATTCATCACACATTCCAACTCTCTTCCTTGGCCTGATTAGTCAAACATGGCCCAACTATATTCATCACTTTCTCCAACACTTACTCACTCACACAAATGCTATTTCTCTCTCACACTCACTTACCTTTGCTGGGCTTCTCCTCAGTGGTGTTGGCCAGTAGTGGAGCAGTGAGCACATGCATGCAATGCTTATAGAAGAAACTTAAAAATTCTGTCTTTTCTGTCTTCTGCAAAAGAGAGAGGGGAACTATTACCACTGCAACTAAGGATAACTAAGACAAATCTCAGAGATGTGTTTGCATTGGACCAGTTAGGGCATAAAACCACTTTAAGTCACATCAAATCATTTTAACACTCAGTTTAATACTTAGTACATCAGAGAGCCAATAAAATTGGCCAGTAACTCACATCTATACATTTAATGGTATTAGTGAAAATCCCTAGCCCTTAGCATGGGGACAGCAAGTTATAACACAGAAAATATTTTTTTCCACACAAGCAACAGATGAAAAATGAGACGAGAGTTAATTAACAAACAACAAAACCAAAAAAACTTAAGCGAAACACTGGTCCTGCTAGAGATGTGCATTTTGACAAAATTTCACAGTTGACTACCGGGATGAGTTAATGAATGGATTTCCAGTTAACCTCAGTTAAGAAAAAGGTAACAGCAAAAAAGAATAGCTAATCAGTACAACTTTGTCTGCTGATAATCACTCCACATCTTCTAAATGAGGTCTTTTCTCCTCAGTGGATGACGTGCAAGTTTGTCAAAGAAAAATATTTTTGACCTACTAACAGCTCGAGTAGTTAAGTCTAGTTACTGAAAAAGTCACATCACTGCATTCTCAAAAATGTCCAACAACAACACGCTCACATTAGGGCACTAGTGTTTCATAGTTGCAAACTGTAATAAAATATATACACTCACAAATGCAAGCAAAACGCTCACATTTTAGTCCTATTAAAGGAGGACTCCTGTGACCTAAACTGTCTACAGATTTTAGTCATATAAAGTATAAAGTGATTCAGAGTGGTTTTAGAAAAAACACAAGTCAAAATTCACAGTTGCAGTGACAGAAACAGAGACAGCTAAAGTGGAGGGGTACATACAAGATGTTGCTAGGCAAAACAGTGCCCAAAGCAAACTTAGTTTCCATCATTAACATTACACATAAAAAAATAAACGGATATGTGTAGTAAACTTTTGGATGGCAAATAATCTGCATTGTACACCTCACGACCCCTGGTTTCCATCACCACCACTGTAAAGAAATATGAGTCAGAAAGTTTCTCTACAACAACCATTTCACATCAAACAAACTCTGAATAACTTTGTTTATGTCTCAACCATTGAATTACGCAGACATTTTGAAAAATTGCTGGAACTCCCCATTAAAACATAAAATTGCTGTATATTTCCTCTCTTGTGATGAAACAACAAATACCCAAATAGTGAAGTACTCCGGTACCTGTGGCATATCCCTGGTTCCCACACTGCACTACTCATACTATGAAAGACATTGTCAGTTTCCATCGGTTCCATCAGCTAAAGCTTAACAATCAAATCAGTCGGTAAAGCACTGCTTAACCAAAACTACTAGAGAGTCTGTTTAATTTTTGTAGTGGTTGATATCAGTTGATATTACAATTTCTAGCTTCTAGCACAGGTAAGAGTAATCTTGCTTTCCATTTATTTTATAAACCAATGAAAGAGCTGCATTACCAAAAAGTCTCTGAATGAACATTTAAAAAAAGTGCGTTGCTCTCACATTAGCAGGTGCCAGCATGTTTTCAGGGTCTACCAGGGTCCTCAGTAGCCCCATTAGCTGCACAGCTCCCCCAAGCTCAGGGTCTGTATCACAGATCATGTGTTCGATGATCAGATTAATCAACAAGATATCCTGCACAGAAAAGAGACATAGAAAGAACATAGGAAAATAAGGAAAAAAATGCAAAAACCTTTCCCCCCCAGAAAAGGGTGCTAAGCACAATGAGTTGCAAGTGTATTCTGTTCAAATTTCTGAAACTTATGATGTGGGTTGGTGGTTGGGTCACTCACGTCATCGTTCTGCTGGGACTCCTGCATGACAAACTCGCGCACCATAGAAGGGTTGTATTCTACCAGGTAAGAGAAAATATCTGTGGCCGCTCCCCGCACCTGCACGTCATCCATTCCCTTTCAACACAACACAACACAAGTGTTATGAGAAGTTTCAAACAGCACATTAAAATTTAAAGTTATACTGCTGATAGGGCTCTTGGTCTCTTCCAAAGGTCTAATTTTCTGTTTTCCATTCATGAATGGAAACTTCTGCTGGTTAGGGCTGTGTTCAAAATATTGATGAACAACTGCTCAAGCTTGTGGCAATACATGTATTGCTACAGTGATGGCTGTATCAATGTTTAAAATTTAAAATTAAATTTAAATTAAAATTTACTTTTGCATTAGGGGATTCACAAGATGCATTTTTTTCAGTAATGGAGTTGCTAGACGATACTTGCTGTGAAGTTGGTTTCAAGTATTCCTACTGAATACAGTTAGATTTTATGCTACAAAACGCATGATACTGGGAGTGGTTCCTATAGTTCTATTTAACAGAATTCATGACATTCCTACAAGTGATAAACATGAACATGAAAATCATCACTGCGGCACTCTCTGAAAAAAATGGTTTGTTTAGCCTAACTTGGATGGTTAGTTAGCTATGCTCTTTAAAACGGCAAGACAAGGTTTCTCAGTCATGAACAATAACAATGGAAAAAAGTGGCAGACTGAACAGTGACAGTGTGCCAACACTGCTCACTGCAAGGATCAAATACCCATGCTAATACCGCAAATATGCACTCATTTGTAAAAGCATCGCCCAAATGTGTCAGTTACCGGGGCGAGGAGAATAGGCAAAATTTAAGTTAGTCAAATTCTTATTCAAATTTTCCAAATTACTGGTGCACCATTTAAGGCAGAATGGAAACTTTTAATACGAAGCTGGTGAACAGGAAGACAATTTCAGCCTTATGAAGGAAACAAAAATCTTAGCAGCTGCTTCTCCTCACAAGATTAAAGCAGCCACTAAGTGCTGATTCAGAACAGGAAAACAAATAATTCACTCAACAGGGATGTTAACAGTTACCGATGTGCAGCTCAATTCAGTTGTAGAGTCCACCTCTATACAGTTGTTGATTACACAGTTTGTTAGTTGTGATTGAGTCACATTAGAAAGTCCCCTCTCATTCATTTAAGCTAGAAGGTAACAGCCACACTTTACATACAAACACAAGATTGTGAATGAATGTCATGCTCAGTTAGTTTCATACTGAAATATAGCCTTTTACACTGTATAGTTCACATTTTTGTTCAGATAGATATTATAGATATTGCACATTGCATATTGATTACATCTTCTAAGAAAATAACTTGTGCCAGTAAACCCATCAAAAAAAAGATTTTTTTTTTTCGGAATTACCATTAAACGATAAATACAAAAATGTGTTGAACATTAGCATTTCTTTTCTAATTCTGTACTGAAAATGTATTGTACCACATTTGTGACGCAAAAACAGTACTTACTGTATCATGAAATCTGCATATCGTTACACCACTATTTCACAAGGAGCTTTAATGTGCAAATGAAAAAGATACCGCATTAAAGTCTGACATTGCGGCATTTGATAGCATCCAAACGTGTTGGAATATTTAGGCTTCACTGTTTATTTTTTGTTATTATTTGAATAAAAAAAGCTTGTTAGAGAAAGAAATGTTCTGGTTTGGTCCAGTCCCTTCTGCACACTGCCCATTCTAAAAACTGTACATCCAGTGTTATTGTATCATATTGCATCATGACACTTGTATCGTGATGCGTATCATAAAGGTGCTGACAATACCCAGCCCTACTGTCAGTGATCCAAACTAGGCATCTGGGTGAATCTTACAGTATACTTTGCTTTGTCCCATGCCCATTCAAGACTGCAACTGAATTAACTGAAAAGTGGGACGGTCGCATCATTGACAGCATGGGTCAATGGATGAGTCCAAATGAACCATGCCGGAGCCCACCTATTAAAGTGGGGTCTGGGCACAGTACAGATCACACTTGATAAATCACCTACTCACCTAGTGAGTACATCCTTAGAGTAAAGTAGACAGGGAGGGAGCAGGGTTTATGTTATCCACACATTCACACTCAAATAACTGGGCTTTTATATTCTAGGGGTGCAGTTTTGTTCAACAGCCAAACAAATCTGAAGCCAATCTGCATAGTACATAATTAGAGCTCTGTACAATCAAGACATTTTTTTATACAAAATACAAAAAAATAAATGTGATTTCTGAATCAAGTCATATCAAACATGAAAATGTGTATTGTCACAACCCACTAAATTGTGTTTGCCTCCCAAACAGAACTCAGCATGGTTCCATTGTTTTCATTGTTTAATTATTTATTCTGAAGTGTGACCAAATGAAAGGTTTTCTGTTTTATGGCATCAAGAAGTGCAAACAGCCTGTTCCAAAATGACAGGAAAAAAGTCTAAAGCAACAGACCATTTCAAACCAACAACAAAAAGTATTAGCTTAGAACTGTAGCACAACACACATGGAAAATATCCACTGCTACATTTAAAGGCATGTACTCTGGTTTAATATTAGACTGTAGAATACAAACGAAAACAATTTGAATATTCAAACCAAAATACGCTACAATGTGTGAATATGAAAATATTGTGTCTGTAGCCCATAATTTCAAAAACAATCTTATACAGAGTAATAACAAACATATTATATACTACTTTAGGAAGAAGGCTTTAATGCCGCTTGTACAGTCTGACTGCTTCTGATTAGCTGACAGAACATATTCACACTCACCAGGATAACTTCCAGTGCTGGTAGGATTCCCATGTTTGAGAGCGTTTTAAAAAAAGCATCTCTGTTTTGTGGTTGTAAAGTCTGAGAGAACGCACAAAACTCCTTCAGGAAATTTACCTAGACAACAGAAAGATGTAGATGAGTAAAACAAAAACAAACCGTATGTACAGCATGTTACATAATTAGATCATACACATTTTACATACTATATAATTATATTATATAGTAACTGTTGCAACTGTGACCCTATCTGGGTTAAGCCGTTTAAGATGATTATTTAACTGTTTCACTCCAGTAGAATTTAATGTGCGTTTGTGCTGTAGCAATCATTACTTGTGCTGGACATCACTGAGCCCCTCCATCAAAGTCTAAATCGCACAAAAATTGGTCACATTTGTTTGTGCTGTTTTACTTCTCAAGTGACACCACTCAGCCCCCCACCAACGTTCAAATCGCACCAAAATGGTCTCATTTGTTTGTGCTACGTTTGTAATAGTTTCTGCTGCTAAAAGAAATATTTGCATTTTAATGTGCAAGTTATTAAGCAATAACGTTTTGATCAGTGACGTCACTCGGCCCCCCACCAACGTCCAAACCACACCAAAATTTGCACGCCAATGGCCTTATTCTTTTGTGTTTTTTTTTTTTTATTAAATTTTATTTCTTTTTTTTTTAATTAAACTGAAGTACATGTTTTTTTTTTCCAAGGGAAATCCTTTATGAGACCGGACAGGTCATAGTAAGGTTGGCGTGGAACCAAAAGGTAATATCCAGGAAAAGTCCAGAGCTGTTAATAGGATAAAACCTACATGGGTCTCTGCTAAATTCTATTGTGTTCTTGGTGGTTCCGAAAAAATTCTTCTTTGATATTTGGTGAGCATTTTCACAAAATATCTTTAGCACACATGATCCATTAAAAGACTGACGTTAATGTTTGTATTTGTCAAACCATGTGAAATCCCACAGTAACCCTGCTGCTTGATTTGTTTTGCAAAAATTGTTTTTAACAGACAGGTTTGTTACTTTTAGTCAGCTTTTGACTTCTACTCAATGCAGTGATGAACCTGAATAGGGTTAAACAGCCAGACACAACACTAAGTGCGTATACATGCACTCAATAATCCGATCACAATCGCATTTCTGCAGTTATCCGATTATTCAAATTGTCATGTAAACACCATGCTCCCATCTAGAAATCTGATTAAGAAACCAGATAAAGAGAGCTGGATTTTAGCTCAGTAATCAGATTTGTCAGTGCATGTATACCCGTACTCCGATTTCTATCAGATTTCTCAGTCTGCGCATGCGCGAGAACAGACGTTGGGTGTCGTGAGATGGCAGCAAAACACTTTTGGATTTAAATATTATTCACCTTCTAAATTATGTATGTTCATATTTTCAGGTAAAGTGGGCGATAAAAACAAAAAAAAGAACGTGGCATGAAGTTTGAGTTTTACGTTAAGTTTACATCACGTCGTCTTCTTTGAGTTCACTGGTTGGTTGCAAAGCAGAAATCTGATTACTGCCTGACTCATGTAGACCTGGAATTTTCCATTATCTGATTACTCAAGAGCATGTAAACGTGTTGATCGGATTACTGACAAAATCAGATTTTCTGCAGTTATCGGATTATTAAGTGCATGTAAATGTACTCACTGTTGTGATCACAGATACCGGCTGCTCAGGAGCAGATCCTCATCAACAGCCAGAGACAATCGTGTGGTAAATGAGGTAATCGCTCACGAAAAGAACTGTTTATCCAATAACTTACGAATTAAAACAGCACAAACACCTGTGAAATGAATGAGACCATTCTGGCGCGAATTAGACTGTTTTGGGGCGATGGAGGGCTGAGTGACATCACTCGTCGAATCATTACTGCTTAATAACTTACAAATTAAAATAGCATAAATATTTCTTTTAGCACTACAAACCAGCACAAATGTAGCTCAAATGAAGGAGACAGTTTTGGCACGATTTAGACACTGGTGGGAGGCTGAGTGGGGAAAAGATTCTTTAGCCTATAAAATAAAACAGCACAAACATTTCTTTTGATGGCTGAATTAAAATTAAAATAGCACAAATGATTCCTGTAACAGCACAAACAAATGTGGCAATTTCTGTGATTTAGACTTTGATGGGGGGCATCACAGGTATTAAAATGTAATTTAATTTCTCAAAAACGGTGCCAGCACAAACCAGCGCAAGCGCAGCACAAGTGAATGGTAGTATATTTATTCCATTTCTGATCACGTGGGGGGGGGCGGCTTCACGGATGTCTGCTTTTATGGGTTTCAACTGGGGGGAAAGGCTGCTGGTGTTTCTACCCGTAGCTAACACAGGGTAATGACAGAGCTTTCATTATATGGTAAAACGTATGGTCAGCATATAGGATTGGCCTGAACAGCACTGTACAGCCTTTGAGTCCCCAAAAACACATGCTCAAAATGACCCTCAAAAACCCAAATTTACACACCAAAATGTTTTTACGCGTCAAATCTACGTTGTTTTCACTTGCATTTCAGAGTGAAGTGAACTGCTTTAGTTTTAAACCCACTGTAATACCACACTGTTCAAACAGGAACAAAAGGGGAAAAAAGCTGAATTTTACACGTGAAGCAGTTATGAAGCACCTGAAGTCAGATTCACAGTCGTTTGCGCTGCACATGCTTACATGATGCTGATGTTTCATGTAAGCATGTATTTTTAATTACTCTGAGATGATTCATCAAACCTGTTGTACCACCATGGTGTTCCAGCACCTTGTTAAAAATCTTCCACTGAGCATTTTTATTATCCTCTGATAAAGTGCTCCCACATATGATTACTAAAGTATTTCTGCTCTTTTAGATTTAATGGCCTCGTGGAAAGTGGTGCAGTTGCACTCTGAGGTGAGGTGATGTGGATGTCTGGCATAACTTTATGGTGGATTCAACTAAACCAGCTATAAGGAATGTATTTAACATTTTCCATAAATTGAAGATAGACTATGTAAGTTTTGAGGATTTGTAGACCTCTCAGATGGAAATGTATAATTGCATAAAAGATGGAGAAGAACATTTTGTAACACTGGTTGTGCTTTGGAGCCCTGAGTAGATGTATCTGATGACTGTGAATAAGAGTATTTAAAATTGTCAAAACTCAGAACAACGTCTTCTGAGGATTCAAGTTAATCATCTGCTAATGTCATCATATCTGCATCAGTACAATATTAATTTTGCATTTGAGACGTTCTTTAAGCCTGTATGTGACATTTAAACCATATTTTAGCATGTTTTTTTCCTCCTGACTCAGGATTTTATTTTCTTCTTTATTAATTTTCACTGATCTCTCTCCAAAGACTTCTATATTCAAAGGCTGATAAAAATGTATTGTAGGTTAGACTACAATTTTTGTGGCTTAAGAAAAGACAAAACACTCTGAATACTATATAAATGAATAAATACAAATATATCAATCAAACACTAGAGTATTCAAATTATTCAAGGCAGCCTAAATATAAAAAAGACCATTGTGTTTACGTTTACGCCAGTATACACCCCACCCTAACTGTGCCATACACCAAAGGTTAATCTTTCCATTTAACGATGCCTTCATCATACCAATTCGTGCCGTTTATCGTCATCTGTGGCTTCATCAGTTAGCTGTGCAAAGAGCTCAGTTAGAAACTTCTCATCATCCTGGAAGAAGAAACAGAACAAGAGATTCATCAGGCAGACAATTGCTCCAAATTTCTGTCTGAAGTGTTCCAATAGAGAATTAAACTGGCTGTTGATTTTTCCCTCTCATAGGGCTGTCCTACTAATAAGACACACTGATGAAAACATGGAAATCATTTGTTTAGGGGAAGATCTGTTCAGTGGCATTAAAATTTGTTAATGTGACAAAAAAGGTATACTTAAGGTAATAAGTGAAGGCTTACAGTAGCCAAAGTATTGAGACAACATCCTTCAGTTTATTAAGATAGTGTTGATTCATTTCTATTCCTAAGCCAACCGTTAAGATATTACAAGCAACTCAAAAAAAATTGACACTTGGACTTACTTTATATACGTGTTAATATTTAGGAAACATTTAAAAGGCAGCTCTTTATTTCATTACAGTATCATTTTTATTATTATTATTACACTCATTACATTCATTTTTACCATCTTTACCATTTTTATCATTACATTCATTTGCTTATATATTTAATCATTTACATTTAAATCTCAAACTGAACTGAGGTCTTGACACCCTTTCTGGATTCACATCCTTGGGAATATCAAATCATGAAGTCCAAAATCAGAATCAAATGAGCACCAATAATTCTCCATTACAGTGGTTTCGGTTGCATGTCCAGTTTTATATTTCTTTCCTTTAAAATACCCAAATCAGCAGGATTAGTAATTATCTGACAAGCTGACATCTCTGGGAATCACTATTTTTGGTACTTAAAATACACATTTTTTGCCCAAAATAGATCAGTCTCTTTGTTTTTTGGCAAAATAACCTGCTTACAAATAAACCACGACTGAATTGGCCTGGCCAGTAAAAGGTCCACTCTTCATACCAAATAAAGCAGCAAGATGGAAAGCACCCTGTGTTTCCATGGAAACCAAGCCCCTCCCATCAGAAACTTTACAGTTACAAGATCTCTATAGGAACCTAGTAGAAAAGTACTAGCCTTTCCAGTCTTTTATGCAGTATACTGGCCTAATCAGGCCAGTAGTAACAAGATGTTCCAGCTTGTTCTTGGCCTGTATTACCCTCTTCTCTGTTGGAGACCCTTTTCCTGCGGAATGGATTTATTTAAAATGTGTATTCTATGTATGTTACTACAAAGCAACCTTGCATATTAGAAAAATATTACCAATACTATTATTATCATCATCATCATCATCATTACTATTATTACTACATTTTTAACTCACAACAAAGCCACATACACCAGATGTTCTAAGAAGTAGTGGAATAGCAATTTGCAGTGCCTCTCAAAATTCCCATTAAAAATCACATCATCAAAGCTGCCAGCACCAAACACCATTAAAATCATGTGCTCAAATGATCACTCGTTAATCAATATGGGATATCATACTGCCCTTTCTTCTTAGTTTTAAAGCACATGAATGAGCTGTTGTTGCTGGCTTTGGCCAAAATGTCAGACTAAAACCACAGAGTGAAAAGGCAAAGCTTCCAAGTTTCAAGACAGGTCTATGAGGCATGCTGTAATCTCACACTTAAAGTTTCTACACGTTATTTTCTAACAAAATTTCTCATCTGTGAATAAACTTATGTAAACTTGTGTATCTGAGATGCCTGGTGCACACAACTGACTCAGATATCCATCAAAAGCCCACCCCAAATTTTAAAAAATAAAACCTAGTGTACCCAATGCAGGGGCAGCAAAAACTATGTGGTTCCTACCACTACAAATAAAAGTCTCTCATACTAACTTATCTATTTGATGGTATGTGAGAAATTGCCTCCAAATTACAAAAATAAAACTGACTGTACATAGTTACTTAAGTAGATACTATAAAACTATAAAACAGGATTTCCAGGATTAATTCATTTTTAACCGTGCCTACCTGTCTTACACAACATAGCATTATGTTGCACCAGTATGACCAGATAATTTGATCGCGTACATCTGCCGAATATATTCCAAACGCACACTCTCTGTGCTCGGCTGGTTTGTGAACTTCAGAGATGATCTTCAGTGCATCCTGTGCAATTACGCCTCTGACTCAATTCTCTACTCAACCTGTGGTTAACAACCAATGCAAACTACTATGTTTTTATGACCTGCTTTATATTACTGAAGTGTGCATCATCACATTTGGAGGAAAAAAGGCTTTGTTTATCAATAAAAATAGTCTGTACTCTTGTGCAACTGTTGCTGACGTAGATACCTGTCCATGAATGAGTGAACGACCAATGCATCTGACAAAATTTGGAACCTTACATAGTGTACCTAAAAGAAGAATTGAAATGTATGTGTGTGAACAACCATGTGTGTAGCCTTCTTGGTGACACCTACCTGGAGCATGCCAACTATTTCCACCTTGTTAAAGAAGATGAACGAGTGCAAGGTGGAAAGCATGTTCTCCTCAAACACGGAGGGTGTAGGTAGCACCATGTCCTGGATGTACTGGACCCGGTACGTCTGGTGAATCTTCTGACGCAGCTCAGGGTCCGTGATTGGGATGACCTCTTTAAACCTGGCCGTGGTGGTCAGAAATTCACGGTGACGTCGAGGCTGAGGCAAAGCAGGATCAAACTCTAGGCAGCCTATCACGTCCATGATGCACTCCTCAGAGAACATGACCTCAAAGAGCGCCGTGCGATTGAGCAGGAAAATGCCTTTGATTATGTCGTAAAGATGGTGCAGGCCCTCGCGGTTTTCCAAATCCTCACACACACGGAATAGCTCCAGCAGCTTGCGAATGTAGCCCTCATTCTCCAGCGCTAGCGCCAGCTTTTCGCGCCGCAGAGGTGAGGGCAGTGATGAGGCCACAAGCTCAGCTACCTCCTCCAGACGGGAGAGCTCGCAAGGAGGCAGCTCCAGTCCAGGAGAGGACATGTCCTCAAAACGCTCCTCCTCCGATTCGTCGATGAGCTCCTGGGTAATGTCCACTGAGGGGTCCTTACCCTGAACCTGAAGACATAAACATACAAGCCACTTGAGGTCACAGATTTGGAGAGAGGCACATTACACCAACATCCAAAATGAAGAACGCTGGGAGCAACAGTAGCCAAAAATAGAAAAGAAAAAAAAGTCAAGTATACCAAAATCCTTGGGTAAAATCCTTATTATCACTGGGCCCATCATTAGCTGGTAAAATACGTATGTATGTATATATAATAACAGCTGCACATAGTGTGAAAGTTCAAATCACCTGACATATTTTCTCCCAGATCTCATCACAACCAGCCTTCTCCTGAAAACTAAGGGCCAGATCATAGTTTTCTGCTTCAGACCAGACAATCAATGTGTCCTAGGAGAAGAAAAAAAAAACACAATCACATAAAAATAAAATATAAAATAAATAAAAGTCAAGAGACAAAGTAACCATTCGTAGTCCTGGCTGTCACCAACTGTGTTTCCGCTCTATGATGCCAGGTCAGGGATAGAATTACTGATCAGTTATGTCTGCTTGCCTGCAGAGTGGTGGTCTAAATTTTTAACATACCCAAATATAAACAAACACACTCTACCCTGAAACGTTACCACTCATTAGGTCCTGGATATAATGTCCTCATAAGAGGCAGCGAGATTCAATTTGCATTAACCTATAACACGGATCTCCAATTTTATTCATAAAAGGCCAGCGAGGCTGTAGGTCCTAACTCCACTGACTTCCACGTCTGCTTCTACTTGGTTGGAATTAAATAGCTACAGTCACACTGGCCCTTTGCAGACCCCTGAATTACAACATAGATCACACTGAAGCATTATGAAAGGAAACGCACATAAAAAATGACAAATTCAGAGTTCAACCCACCTGCTGTTTTTGATAGGCTGTGTTAGGGTTGATTTTTGACTCCAGCAAAAGAGATCCTGGAAAAGAAAAGAAATGGGATGCTGGATGTTTCGAACTCCCCTCACAACTTTAGGCGCGTAACGTACAGCAACCAAGCCACAAAATCCAAGAGCTCTATCTTGTGACATGGACTTACCGTCGCTTTCAGCGCGCACCAACAGCGACATGCCTTTGAGTCTCTCCACGTAGCCGGACGACACATGCCCTGTCCCTCGGTCATCCCACTGTCGGTCTTCATTCAGAGTGTAGACCTTCACTCGTCGCCGAGTGTCAGTCATTCTTGCGAGTAGCTCTTTATACCGGAGGGAGTAAGAGGGATCGGGTTGATGGGGTTTGCCCTCGTTAACTTTATTGTCAAATGTCTCACTCCTCCTGCGAGGTTCCCTCACAGTCTGACTCGTCCGCTTCTAGTCTGCTTCTCCGCTGAAATGTGACATTTACGGTGCTGCCTGTTCGTCGAGCTAACGCGATGCTCCTCCGACCAGTCTAGCGTTAGCCAGCTAGCTCTCTGTTGACACCGTCCATAGCCATGGTCACCTTCAGTATCGCTGAGATGCTTACTGCTGCTATTAGACTATCTGCAAAAACTGTGGATATCCGAACGAATGCGAATACTGTATCGGAAGCGTGCAGCTTTGACGAAAAGGGATTTTTTTTCGGGCGCCCTGCAACGACCAATTGAGCCGACTACTGCTAGCTAGCTGGTTAGCTAGCGGGCTATCTGCTCGCCTCAAACATTCTGACTACAGTTCAGGTCCAACCATGTATAGGAGGGGAAAACGTAGTACCGGTACCTTTACTGCCCCATTATAAACACGCCCTGTTTATGAAAATGTGAACAAAGCCATACATACACGCACACTGCGATGTTTTTCATTATAAGCCAGCTTGCAGCCTAGCGGCAGGCTAACGTTTATATTTTGGCCAAGAGTTCCGCCATGTTCTGGCTGAGGGCCGTGGAAGGACCAGCCTCTCTCCTCAAACGCAGACGGACATGCGGAGATGGAACCAGTCGGACAGGCAAGGTCGTCAAACTTTCCTGAACAATAAATGTCCTTTGCAACCCGTCGAGCACCATCGAACCGCGACGTCTTGACGAGAGTAATTATTAGCCCTACTGTAAGTGTTCGGCCATCTTGGGTCCCCTCAGAAAGCCTGCACGGGGTTTCCTACGCGGCGACCGCAGGGCGGCCCGCCACGGTTTAAAGGTACAGAACCTTACAGCCAATACTCACATTATAACCTGTGACAATAAAAAGAAAATAAAGGATGGAGAGGTTGTTAAAGGAACACTCCTACCAAAAGTTAAAGATGTAATTATCGCTGCATTTGTTGTTAAAATGCTTACTCTCGTAATGTAGCGGTGTTGCTGTAGCCTCTAGAGCGAATTTTCAGGTTAAAGACAAAAAACCCTTCTGATCTTGTACGGGGCTCCTGAGGGGCCATGGTTTAATGACGTTGAGTTCCCTCGCAATAATTTTGAAAGTGAAAGCAAAACGTTTGCGAGAGAATGCAAAGAGTGGAAGAACTTTTGAAAAACTACGACTGCGTTGGGATTCTTGGAGGCAGTCTGTTTTTGAAATGTAGTTTTTTTTGTTTACTGGAGGTGTAACAGAAAGGCAGACAGCAAATGTTACTGCTAGAAAGCCGATTTACTCTACAACAGTACAAATTTGTGCTTGTCATCCATTTCGTCAGTCAGGATTGAAACAGGGATTCCCCCGGTGGTATGAGGTATTTGCCTAATAGGTTAGTGTATTACAGTAGTTATTTTAGTGAGAACATTGATGAACAGCATTAAAACTAAAAAAAAAAACCCTGAATTCTATCAAACCAATTAAGGAGACGTATACAGAATACTTCATAGCACTCAGATTGGGATACAATCTGGAAATGAAATTGAGATTACACTCCCCCAGTCACTCAGCGGGCTGTTGCATTTTGGAAATAAGGACTGAACTGACCTTACTGTTCATTTCAATCAACTTGTTTATTGTAGTAAATGACAAAAAATATTACGGAGCCATTTAGAAACAGCAGGCATTAACATATTTTGATGTAAGAGAAAGTTTACCCAAGAAATTATCAAAAAAAGGGAAAAAAAATAGTCATAGGACCACAACAAACTTACAAACCTTTCAAACATAAGTTTTCATTTAGCACAAAGCAAACATTTCAGTAACATGAATTAAATCTGATATAAACTGGGAAAAAGGTAAATCTACAGAACGTCACACTTGAGGCTGTTCTTATGGATACAAAGGTAGCCAAGGAAGGAGGTCCGACATGATGAAATGCTTTGCGGTCAGTCAGTCAGTTCTTAGTGGCTCAGTGTGTTGCGTTCCCTTGCAACCACAACCTGGGAGAAATATTGTGTACCAAATGCAGCAATTTCCTGAGCAAAGGAAAAAAAAGCTCAAATTGTAAATGAAAGAGTTTATTAAGCTAGTGTATTGGCAGCTTTAGAACAGATGAGCAGAATCCAGAATTCAGTGTAAACTACTGGAGAGTCACGGAAAAGGAGGGTGCATAACATCTCTAGAAAAATCATGACGTTTAAAAAAGGGGGAATAATGATACAAAATATATTAAAACAAATCCTTCTAATTTTACCCTCCTGTCCAGTAAGTCCCACCACAAACCTCTAATAATCAAGGGCCTCATAAAGGTACCTTGATGTTAAATCTTTCTTGGCTGACTGAGCACACAAACATTATCAACGTAATATCAATAAGAACACTGAGGACCCAGTTTCCCAACAGCATCGTAGGAAAGATCCATGCAAGAGGTCGTAGCAAGTTTCAACTTCAACACTTTGTAACAGATAAAAAGATCTTAGGCCTGCGATACTTTTGGGAAACCCATCTGTTATTAGTTAACATTGGCCAATGATGCAGTGTAGTTCTCAAGTTAACAAACAACAGAAGAATTGGTGGAGTCCATGTGAAACGTCCCTTCATCCTCTATTTCCCCGCCTGTTGAGCCTGGCGTCTTAGCAAGACATAGATTTTCTCTTTGATCCAGTCTTTGTTGTAGGGCTGGTATGTCTGTGTATCTGCACGATACCTGTTCAAATCACCAGAGAGAGGCCATCATGTTTACAAAAGTCCTACAAACCTTTTCATGTATCACGCTTTGATTATACATCATAAATATCGAGAATAAAAGTAATAATGCATAAACTGCAAGGATTTGTGTGATGATGTAGATTTAGACACACATTTATTCAAATACTAATGACTATCCATTTACACATTTGGTGTGTCCCAAGGCGTAATATTCGGCTCACAAGTAAACTAGCCATAACAGTAATTTAATAGACCAGCTTCCTGGACATGTATTAACGCTAATTCTAGGAATCACCATATGACCAGTTCATCAGTCTTACACTGCGTTCAAAAGAAGCTCATAACTTGGAAATTCCCACCTGACAAGGCAAGAAAACGGTCCCTTAGGTGGGAATTCCCAATTGGAAAGTTGGGATGGTGTAAGCTCTGCATACAATATCAAATCAACGTGGCTTCCCACACCATCAACACTAATAAATTTGCTTTGGATCAGTCAATGTACAGATTTAATCAGCTACTGTGTCAAATTTCTACCATACATTTCACTGTTTTGAGAAGGTAAATGCATAATGGACGTTTAACGTCAGCTGGCTTGTTTATTGCTAACAATCCCCGTTTGTAGGGTTTCATTTTAAACAAATAAAAGCAAACCTGATTCTACATGTTTAATCAATTGGTCTTATAACCCATCGAACAACTGATCAAGTGTGCTTTTTGTTAGAATGAATGCCTTCAACTCTGTGGACAAGTCTGGAGTTATTTTTAGTCTTTGACCTGAAGAAGAATTCCAAAGTTTCTGTGTAACAATCACTGAGACAGAAAAAACATCATTTAAAGTGGTTTGCAAACTAGTAGTTACCCATTTGTTGCAACTAATGCACGAGGCTACATGGAACTGGTTCTTTGTAGAAAAACTTTGAAAATTTCTTTACAACGGTAGTGATATGGTTGTGATGTATACAACGCAAGTACAGCCCTTTTATGTAACATCCAATCCTTTTCTGAGTTAATATATATGATAATGGTAAAACAGCGGTATATACGTTTTCTTCAAACAAATATATTTTAGACCAAAACTCTCTAAACTTGTAACCATTTTATGAATGTTCTGTGAGGTAACTTTTAGAAACATTAAAATCTTTGGATGTAAGGTTTCCATCACCACCACACCTCACAAGGTTTCGCTACAAGGGAGCATTTCACATCAAACCACTCTGATTGACTTGGTTCACATCTTCATTTCATTACCTAAAAATTGTGAAAAATCTGTAGAATTCCCCTTTACTCTGGGTCTGGGAAACTGGCCCAACATGCAACAATATATGCATCACAATGTCATATTTATCATAGGTACTTACACCAGACAACTGAGATCAGCCAGGTCGTCAATGAAATCAAACAGCTGACTGATATCATAGGTGATGGAGGGACTGTTGGGATTCATTCTTTTCAGATGCTCTTCATACATTTTACACACCCCTACAGAAAAGGAAGTAGTAAATACATCTTATCTTCATTTAGTAATGCACTTCGTCTTGTTAAAGACGACTGTAAACTAATTTCAAAGAGAGCTCACCCTCCATGCATTCATTGACAGACTCATAATCTGCATAGGTTCTTCCCTCTGGCCTTTTTGTGGGCTGAACCAATAGGATTGTGTGAGACTGAGAGCGAGGGGAAAACGAGAAAGGTGAAAAAAATCAGATTTTTTGTCACACACCGATAGATATGTTTTCATTGACACAGATTAAAAATATTAAAGAGACGATCGTTACGAATGCACAAACTAGACAGCTCATAACCAACACGACACACCTTATCTCCCTAATAGCGCGATTTTCAAAATATTAACCCTTTACAGCGAAGTTTTGAGATTTTCAATCGAACTGTTAGCTAGCTAGCTAACGTTAGCCAATTTTATTCGCTAACCTAGGTAGCTTAAAGTTCTGTCATCGTATGTGGCCATATTAGCTAGCATATAGCTGTGAGTCATGAGGAACATAAGGAACAGCGTTTGAAAGTGGGCATTAAATATTCTTGAGATTTCGTTGTAGCTATAATCATTTTCGAGTACATCGACCCTAATCTTGCGAACTAGCAGTTAACGTTACCTATTCGTTGCGACTAATGCACGATGCTACACTGCAACATTAGCTAAGTAACTACCAAACAAGTCTTCATTGCTAACTACGAAGCAGCTAGACAACCAGAGGCAAACTACACATTCTTAAATATAAAACAAGGTATTAAATTTGCAATTTAAATACGTACCATCTTCGGGGCAAATATATAAAAGTGGCGAGGAAAGCTGTGAGTGCCTGCAGTGCTTGTAGTCGTTTCTCGAACAGCAGCAAAGACATGAATGGATTTCTGCAGTAAAAGTCCTTTTCCTTCGGTAAGGTTGTCAAAATACAAGTCACGACCAGGACCATCAATGATAAAAATCCACGCGCACATTATCACAGTTAAGATTTTTTGTACAGCATTCTTTTCTTAGTTTTTGTACATTAGTCGATTAATATAATAACCAGTATGATCATTTGGATAATGTTAATTTAGATAATTAATGCGATAATTTAGTTAATGTACTTTATTTATCAGATATTCTCTGCAGTGCCCCAGTTACTTTGGTATAGGAAGTTGTTACGCACTTACACTTCTAACTTATTTTTAAAATAATATAATAATTATATAATATAATGATTATGAACAACAGTAACACAAAAGCACAAAAGTAACCAGCAATTTTGGTCAATTTAATCTTGAGTTAAAGAGATGCACATGGATGACAGACAGAATGTCACTATGTTCCATTTGATATCCATTTTTAAGTACACCACTACATGTGTGATTGTTGGGAAGCCTTTGAGAGTCTTTATTTTTCATCAGAATTTTACAAATATAATGGCATTTTGTGTTTAGCACTTTTGCTTTAAAGCACATGCACAGAATTGCTGATATGTAAGTAAACTTATTGTATGTCTTTTCTGATGATATGCATTGTTGTTTTTGTACATGTGGATGCATTTGTGTTTTTGATTCCTTTGCAACTGCTCATCGACTGCTCTTCTTTTTTTGCTCCTCAGACACGAACACGGTATGGTCTTCCTCTGTAACTTCTTCTGGGTGCTGGAGCAGAGCCCCTGGCAGAACCTTCACATGTTCTCCTGCACTCATCCGCAGAGACAAAGTTGTTGCCGTTGCCCTGGCAACCACCATACCAAAACTGTGTGCAGGTCTGGGTGGAGGCATCAAAGTAAAAACGAGAGGTCCACTCATAGCAAGGGCCGACCAACCGTGGCATAGAGCACACATCAGGAACAGAAACAGAGGCAGAGTCCTGCCAAGAGAGAGAGGGGCATTTTATATATATATATGTATATATATATATATACATACACACACACACACACACACACACACATTAGCCACTTCTTCCTTGTCCATTTTATCAGCTCCACTTACTATATAGGTGCACTTTGTAGTTCTACAACTACAGACTGTAGTCCATCTGTTTCTGCACATACTTTGTTAGCCCCCCACAGGACCACCACAAAGGAGGTGGTGGATCATTCTCAGCACTGCTCTGGTTACAAGTGTATCAGACACAGCAGTGCTGCTGGAGTTTTAAAAAACTGTGTCCACTCACTGTCCACTCTATTAGACACTCCTACCAGGTAAGTCCACCTTGTAGACGTAAAGTCAGAGACAGTAGCTCAACTGTTGGTACACAGTTTGTGTTGGTCATCCTCTAGTCCTTCATCAGTGGTCACAGGACGCTGTTGGCTGGATATTTTTGGTTGATGGACTATTCTCAGTCCAGCAGTGACAATGAGGTGTTTAAAACTCCAGCAGCACTGCTGTGTCTGATCCACTCGTACCAGCACAACACACTCTAACACACCACCACCACGTCAGGGTTACTGCAGTGCTGAGAATGATCCACCATCCAAATGATACTTGCTCTGTGGTGGTCTTGACCATTGAAGAACAGTGTAAAAGGGGGCTAACAAAGTCTGCAGAGAAACAGATTGACTGCTCCTAAGTGCTCCTATACAAGGAGGTGTACTTAATGAAGTGGCCAAGTGGTGCATATATATTCCTATATAAAAGTCTGAGCTCCCCTGGTCATCAAATGTTTTGTTGATTTTCTAAGTAAAAATAAGTTACACAGTTAACACACTACTGTACATTTTAATGCGCAATTACTGTTTCTTTGCTGAACTTACTGAAAAATAATAAATGTGGCCTATGCAAAAGTTATGGCTCATTGAAATTGTGCACTAAAATTTGTAGAAAAAATCTTATTTAAGTGTCTTCTCTATAGAGGATGTGTTAACTTACTTTCACTTACAAAATCAACAAAACATGCAATTAGAGGTCATTCAAGCTTTTGCATACAACTGTATAAGGATTGTTAAACAGAGTGGTTTTGGGGTTCCCTTTAAACATAGAAATTTCCTGAGCAGATAAAATTTATCCAAATCGCTCTCCAAAAAAATCTCCATTTTTGCCCATTTTGATTTTTCTACATCATTTGAACACGATAGCAGTCTCATATTACATGTAGAAATTTCATGTTGAATAGGCTAATAGAAATGCTCCAAATTCACTTTGTAAACCTCTTTACATTATTAAAAGAAACATTAAAAGAAAAGAACGTTTTTGCCTTCTTCTGTAAAGTTACCATTGTGGAGATATATGTTTTTCTTTGGTCAGGGATATTTTGTAAGTTTAAAGCACCCAGAATCAAACAGACATGCAGAGCAGCAGTGCTACTATGCTGTATACCAACCACTTCATTTTTTGTTGTTGACTGAGCAATAAAACAATTTTTTTAGTTTTGTAAGCTAAATGAACACAAGGGCTAGATTAGCACATTTCAAGTACATTCTATTAGCCAATGCAGTATAAACATTATTTACTTTTTAACTGGCATTTTAAATTTTAAATCAGTTGCCTTTTAAAATAACATGAATCAAATAAAGTGCTGTGTTAAATGTAAGAGGTGACTGACTATTTAGCATAATGTATAATTATGCTATGACTTTGGTGTAGGTGTAGCAGCAGCGTTCAAATATAGTGCCAGAAATCATGAACTGATGACTGAATTATCACTGCTGAAACAAATGTGTCAATACTAAACAGAAGTTTGTTTTGGTAGTGATATATTTGTTTTAATTATGACAGTCCAAGCTAATCTTGCACTTATCTCTAAATGTGTACATTAACGGAAAAAAAATTATCAGCAATTTCTGTTTGACAGACACAATGTTTTATTAACTCTTATAGTATTAGAGTTATAAAGTGGTGACACTTTTTGAAAACGTATGGATTTTCGGACTTTGTTCAAAATGTTAAAAGACATCTACTCACCGCAAGGTCAAGACGGAGTAAAAGGTTTTTTATTTCTTCCTGGTCACATATTTAGGGGGGTGGCCACAAGTTGATTCAGTCCAGAGAGATTAATTGTGTGTGTTTCGGTAGTGACATGAAAATTGAGGACAGCATATTTTCAGTTTTTAAAAATGATTATTATTTTGTTTTATTTTTTTTAAGATTGAAGCAAGATAGGAATTGAAATGGCATATTGAATAGAGACAAAACATGGCCAAATAGTGTTTAAATAGTGTTTTTTATGTTTTATTTTTGATGTCATTTCAGATGCAATGCTCAATACAGCCAATGTAAGCAAATGTATCAAACTATTGTTTTGTTTACATACACACAAATACATATATATATATATATATATATATATATATATATATATATATATATATGTATGTATATATGTGTGTGTGTGTGTGTGTGTCAACCAGCCACTTTAAGTACGCCTCTTTATATCTACAGTCATTGTCCATTTTATGAGCTCTACTCACCATAAAGGTGTACCTAGTAGTTCTACAAATACAGACTGTAATACTTCTGTTTCTCTGCATACTTTGTAGCCCCCTTTCACACTGTTCTTCAATGGTCAGGACCCCATAGGAGCAGATATTATTTGGGTGGTGGATGATTCTCAGCACTGCAGTGATACCGACGTGGTGGTGGCATGTTAGTGTATGTTACGTGGGTACAAGTGGATCTATATATTGGATATCAGATACATATTTTATATATGTATTTTTTTATAACTTTATTCAGAATGATGAATGAGGCTGTAGATACTTTTGAACTGCAATGTCTTACCCTGTGGACGTAGTCTGGACACCCTGCTCGTCCATAGCCCTGAGCAGGAGTTACTCCATCCAGACAGCAGCCAAACCTGCCAGGCACACACAAACACCCAGGTAAAGAAGCAAACATGCCACGTTATATTGATTACGATGATGATGAAAGTGCACCTACTCATAGTGCATATCAATGTATCAACAAATATCAACATTTACAAAAATGAAAAGAAAAAAATAGACAGACCTTCATTAAATTCATAATAGTTACATAGGAAAGTACTACATTTGAATGACTGTACCGCCACATAAATGAAAAGTGCTAGTACCTGCTTCTAACACAGTCATCTGGAGCACAGCCCTCTCCTCTTGGTCCTGTAGCAGCAGTGTGGCCATCAGGACAGCAGCCGTAGTATGACTGAGCACAGTGTGGACCAACCATAGGCGTGTATGGGTTGTATGGCCGATGGACTGTCAATAATTCAAGACAGGAACTAAAGCATTTGTTATGCTGGAAGTGGGTGATTCATGTTCCAAACTACTACTTCTAATGTTTTTATTAAACTGTACTTGTATCTTGTATCTGTAGCTTTGTATCTTTAACCTTTATGATAAAAATTTAAATATGGATCAGTAATATGTGTGGTCATGCTTGTTATGTAAGTGAAAATGCCTACCTGACGGTTCACCATGGACATAAGGTACAAATCCTCTCAGAGAGCTCTCATGACCACTGGGGTCCTGAACACTGGGCACCACTAAACAGAGATACACACAATCAAATATGGATCCTCTGATATTTGTGCATCATACTCTCAATTACCAAAACACAGTTTTTTACGAAAACATCAGTAACTCAAAGGGGAACATTTGTGAATAAACTGTAAGTTGGCTTGACAAAGCCGTTTCTAAGAAATCTCTAGTGTTGCTAAGCCATTGCTGTGGTATCCCAGGTGGTTGCTAAGGTGTTACTCTGCCATTGCTGTGGCATTCAACGTGGTTGCTAAATTGTTACAAGGCCATTTCTGTGGTATCCCAAGTGGCTGTTAAGGTGTTGATAGGCAAATGCTGTGGTATCCTAGGTGGTTGCTAAGGTGTTGAATAAAATAATAGTATAATATAGTAAAGAATAGTAAATAAAAACAAATTAAAATTCTTGACCAGAGCCAGATTTTACATTCAGGACACCCTGGGCCAATTGCTTTACAAATTTACCTTTTTTGTACTTTAACATAAATTATATGATGTTGCTTTTTATTTATGCTTTTAAATGAAACATAATATTAACAATGTAATGAAAAAACACTTTTATTATTGAAACCCTTTCAATAATAAAGGCCTTTCAGTAGAACATTCATCCATGTTACTGAAGACCTAAAAGCCAAGTGAGGCGTTTTTCCTGCAAGAAGTTTCTGGTGCTGTTTGAACACGCCAGCAATGACCAGTGGACAAGAACAAAAGAAACAGCATTTATAAACACTGTTTTTAATTTTCTTTAATTTTATGACTCATCAAATAAAAAAATCAGCATTTTCCTCTTTTGGATGAAGACCCAAAGTCAAATTCACCCTTTTTACCCTTTTCAGCCCTAAAAAAAACAATACAGTACAAAACCTTACTTTGAATGGACAGTATTCAAATCCAGACCTCAAGTCCAAATCTTCTCCTGGATTTGGTAATCACTGGTACTCAAATGAACAGCATAGAATTAATTTCCCGTTAAAAGGAGTCTTGTGTGAATGCAGTGCTGAACTTGTCATTGAATTAAATTCATAATCAAATTTGTAAATCGGTAACTCAATTTGAAATTCCTACGTATGCTTTTCATGTGATTTTCATACAAATCATACAAACCCAGTTCCAAAACAGCTGGGACATTAACAGTATGTGAAATGCAAAATAAAACAAACAGCAGTGATTTGTAAATCCACTTTGACCTGTATTTAAATGAATGCAGTAAACCAACTAAACTAACTAAAGCTCCTTAAAAACAAAACAAGATTGTTTATACACTCAAAATGTCAGCTGATTCTGTGAAGATCCTGGAGTTGTAATAGCGTGTTTTGGCAGGTGAATTGTAAACATAGAGTAAAAGTTTTTAACAACTAAACTGTGATTCATAATCGCAGCATGAACACTGAAATGATGTACATTAACTTTTGTAGCTCTCATGTGAGGATCATATTCACAAAACTTAGATCACAATCACACTTGCAGTTTATGAATCGGATTATGGATTTGCAATTTGTATAATTATTCATACAATAACTAAAATCTTGTCACTGCATTCAAGTTTGATTCCTTTTGACAGGAAATTAACTCCATTACTTGATGAAACATGTTGGCCACTTTGTCAAGGGATAAAGGCATAAAGGGACAGTGTAGTATCTGGACCTCAAGGATTATGATTGGAATCTGGCATGCACTCTCACCCTGTGCTCCAGGGCAGGGCTGTGTGTTGCAGTTCTCTACACTGTGAGGTTTGGACTGAGGGGAACATCTTTCATCTCCATATTGGTTCTGATCCAGATCCATACACACCACTCTACGCTCCCGGGTCCCTGTGCCACAACTCCGAGTGCACTGAGAGCCAGATAGAGGACAATTATAAAAAGTCAAAAGCTTCTTCTCCTTCTCGCTTCCTCTTTTGTTTCTTTAAAGCTACCATACATTAACTACTCTACACTAACTTGCAGCAGCTCCACTCATGCAAAACCTGACTTTGATCATCATAAGAAGATTAAAAGAAATGTCTAAGATCATGGTGGAGTGTCAGTTTGTTCTTCTTACCAGGCTCCAATCGTTGACATAGTAGCGGAACACCTGGTGGCAGGCAGGTTTCTGACAGGTACGGACCTCCGCAGGGCGCGAGAGACCACTGCAGTGGTGCTCAGGGAGACGCTGTCCTCGGCTACCAACGCAGAAAACCTCCCTCACCTGCTGACCCTCACCACACGTCACTGAGCACTAGGGGCCGCACAAGAAGCGTGACCACTGGGTCCACAAATCCATTCCTCACTCTCATAACTACATACGTTACAAAGTAGTTTCATAGATTCCAAATCATTTTTTTTAGGATTTATTAAATAACAAGGCTAATAGTCAATGTAAAAACCTGTAAAAGGAATTTCTCTTGATGCATGCGTCGAAATTTCCATACTGTAATGAAACAAATAATATATAATGCAGAATGTAAATCTACAACCGTAAATCGTGTGATGTAAAGTCACATTCTGAATTGATAGAGTGGACGCGTTCCATCCACTTTTAGAAATGATATGAGAACATTTGGAGGGTTGTGGGATGATTGTTGAAAAAGTACATAACTGAGTTTCATAAGAGCTGTCAGATATCAGTCCTTATGCAGCTGTCAATTACAGTGTGAAACTCTTTTAAACCCAAAATAGATTCTTTTAGTTATAGCCAGTAATGACAAAAACAAAGAAGCACTTACCTGCCCAGGGATCATTTTCAACACTACTGTACTATGGTCATATGTTGACTTAAGCCACAACAGTTATTAATAGTTCTTCCTTTTTTCTTCTTATTTATCATAATTTTTAGCATTATTGGGAATTTTTCTAAAACATGTATAGCAATATGAAGAGAGAAAAAACTGCCAAAACTGAATCTCTCTACTATGTATTCCTGTTAAAAAATGCTATTTGTTTTTGTTTTTTAGTATCGGTATATAAAGAATGAAATAGCAATATAACAAGCATAATTGTAGGTGTAATTTGTTTATACATTTTTCATGTTCTAATTGCTGGATGTAAGTTTAGCCTCCTGATGTTGGTCCCCCCACTTGTCAGACCAAATCTGCACACCCCCCCCCGCCACGGTTACCGTGCTAAAGCTGCTGACACTGTACTCAGCGCAGGCGTGCTGGTTGCAGGCTCTATGGGCAGCTGGCCTCTGTAAGCCCTGTGCAACGCAGTACGAGTCGTCCACCACATGTCCATCAAGCACACAGTTTACACTGCGGGTCTGCGTGCCCCCACCACACGGAGCCGTGCACTCTGAATAAGCACCAAATGAATACCTGGACACACATAAAGATGTAAGTACAGAAAGTATTACAGTAGTCCAATTTTCCGTTGATTGGCAGTGACATCACTATAACATATTATATGAGAAAAGGCTTCGTTTTCTTTGTTGATAAGGGTTCTTACATTTATTATTTAGTCCTAATTGAATGCCTCTGACTCAATTAATCACCTTTAAGTTCTCTGCTGATAAACATACACCATCCAGCCACTTTATTAAGTACACCTCTTCTATCGACACTCAGTGTCCATTTTATCACCTTCACTTACTATACAGGTGTATTTTGTAGTTCTGCAATTACAGACTGTAGTCCATCTTTTTTCTGCATGCTTTGTTAGCCCCCTTTTACCCTGTTCTTCAATGGGCAGGACCCCCACAGAGCAGGTATTATTTGGATGGTGGATCATTCTCAGCACTGCAGTAACACTGACGTGGTGGTGTGTTAGTGTGTGCTGTGCTGGTATGAGTGGATCAGACACAGCAGTGCTGCTAGAGTTTTTCGTAAGTGGAGCTGGTAAAATGGACAACGAGTGTAGGGGGTGTATTTAATGAAGTGGCTTGTTGTTGGATAATTGGCCAGGAAAAAAAAATCATGTTTTTACAAAGTTAATGTTGCTTCCAAAAATTGGAGTGGAGTGTATTCCAAAGGTGAGCAGCATGGCGATTGTTATCATTGTCATCCTAAATTACATCACATCATAAATTGCTTTTCTGATCTCATTAAAACTATCATCATGACTTAAAGGGGAATTCCTCTATTGTTTGCAAAATTTTTACATAATTAGATTGCTGAGATGTAAACAAAGTCATTGCATTTTTTTAACATGATATAATTCACTGTAAAGAAACTTACTTAGTCTGATTTTTTGCAGTAATGGTGAAGGCTACAGTGCAAATACTGCCATTGTATTATCCAAAATGGCCAGTGATAGTACACGTGTCTTCTGAGTAATGTGTAATGTTTTTAAAGATAAATTAGGGGTAAATCTGAAAAAAAATCTTCTTTGGCTTATTTGGGTAATGTTTTGCCTTACAGCTCCCTGTATGTATCTCCACTATGAATGGATTTTTTGAAAAAAAATATATGTTTTAGGCCAAAAACCTCAAAACCATCGCAAAACAACGTCTCTCGCTTCAAGCTGTGTATTCATACCTATAACTTTCATAGGCATTAAACACTTCAGATGTCTGGTTTCTTTCACCACCACTATGAACAAGTCTATGTAATTTTCTCTAAAATGTAGCAACACATCAAACCACTCTGAGTGACTTTGTTTACATCTTCAGTTGAATTCCCCTTAAAAAAAACTGCAACTGCATGCCTTATAACAAAGAGAGCATATTTAGTCCTGTTTAAAAGGATTTGGTGCAGTGCAATATGTCAAACTATAAAATAAATAGTGTCATATTCATAATAAAAACATTGTACTCATAGTTTTGATCATATTTACAAAGGACATATTACTGTCTGTTGGTGGCATTACTATTATTATTTGTCTGTTTCAACTTTTCAAGCAAAAAAAAAAGTCGCGTCACAAATTGTGTATCGTGAAAATATGTTGAAGTATCATGATATTATATTTTTGCCATATCTCCCAACCCTAATTCTAAAGTAATAGCCAACTATAAACCTTAGCCACACATAAACAGACCTATAAGCCTCTGTAGTGTGAGTTATTCCAGGTCTCGGGATGTGACTGACAGAAGGAGAGGGTGGATGGTCAAAGCCCACAATTTCACCATGACTCACCGCCTGTAAATCAAGACAGCAGCATTAGCGTGTGTCTGTGTCTAATTCATGAGTGTGCATGTCGTTAAAGTGCTTGAGTGTGCACTTGCCCTGCAGACACCCTCAACGCAGATGTCACTGCGGCCCACGTAACATCGAGTACCGTCCACTACAGTAGGACGATGGCGATAGTAGAAATTCTCTCCTCGGGGTACACACACCAGCTCACATGGGTTCGAGCCTGCACACAAGCACAAACACATTCGAAAAAAATGGAATTTATATATGATCATTTACAGACATGTTTGGTGTCCAAATGTTGAAGCTTTAGTTTGGCACTGGAGCTAAAGGCTAATGTAGCTAAGTGAAGGTTATCCACAGCAATTAGCATTGTGCAAACTGCATGCTTGAATCATCATCATTGCCTCAATTCATGTCAAGCTGTATCACATACTATTGTAAAAATGGGCATGGAGAATTTTAGCTTATGCTCTTTTTTGGCATTTTTCCCCAGTTTTGTCTCCAATGTAATTATGTCCAATTCTACCTGGTCTCCCTTAATCACGCAATGCACTAGGAAGGTCAAGGCTAACATGTGCTACCTCAGAGTCATGTGAAGCCAGCCACCTTATCTTAACAGCCCTTAATGAAGTGTCATCGGACAGCTCAGCACGCTTGAAGCAGAGCGCTAACTACCAATTCTGTTACGTCAGCTAACAGATGCTCACACTGGCTAGCATTGTGCTGAGTGATGGGGAAAGGGAGGGCCATCCTACCCAACCAGAGACAGCATGGCCAATCGTGCTCTCTTGGACTCCCAGCTATGGATGGCAGTGGTATCACCATTTGTTTGTGCTCTTGTCCACTTTTATAGATAACAGTATGTCATACATTATCAGAAACCAGATAAGCAAGTCTGTTTGGGTTTTCTGAATAACAACAATCTGAGGCAAGTTGGTGACAATTTAGGTCAGAAATATATTCAACCGTATGCTAATGCAAATTACAACACTTGACAAATGCATTGCAAAGGCACGGTCCTTCTATACAAACTCACCCTGAGTCCTTACATAAGTCCTTACGCTTAAGAATGGTGGTTAAAACAGTCAGTACTCAAGAGGGCAATAGAGAAAAGACAGAACTCTAGCTCTACTGTTATTTTAGCATCCACAACTACTAAACGTGGACAGTAAAGGAGTGTGAGCTGCCTTACTTGCTCTAACAGAATGAAGAAGTGATGTATCATATAAGGATCATTCTACTGAATTGGTTTCAAGTTTGAGTTAAAATCATCAGACTTTTAACTTTAATTGACCTTGACTTTAGAACTCCTTTTGCTTTGAATGACCCTAAACCTTAATTACATTTATACTTAACCAAACCAGTGCTCAAACTTTCCATTTGAAACCTTCCATTTTTTCACCACCACAACAATAAAACCACCTCCAAAACAAATGTTTCAGTAGTGACTGTTTCAGTAGTGTCAATTTTAGCTAATTTTGTGCATAACCCAAAAATGCTAGCCAGTACATGACTAGTAAACACAGCTTTGAGCAATTGTACACACATAAAATCATAATATGTGTCATTAAAACACAAAAAGTTACTTAATTGCACAAAATATGTAGTTTTCAGATTTTCATACCTCCATAATAAGGCTGCCAGGCGTAGCGTTTGCCCTGGAAATCCATTCTGTCGAACCGGGAGCACTGTTCCTCACGGAAATCCAGAGATCCAGATGGACATTCCTTATACAGGACACAACAAGCACATCAGTTAACACCTGCTCACCCAGACAGACGCTGCTGTATGCATGGGATTAGATATATTAGACGTACTTGGGTCCATACTAGGTTCATACTACACTCTCTAAAGAAAAGGTACTAAACTGTCACTGGGGTGGTACCATCAAGTAGCTGGGTGGTACCCTCAGGGTACATCTTTGGTACCTTTAGTTAGAGAACATAAATGTACCCTGTTCCACGTACTATATTCTATTGCAATTATATTTTTTACTCCACATACCCTGTCTTGACTCCAGGCTTTTTATTAAATTTTTTTATTAAGCTATGAATTAAGCCATGAAAACTTACAAAGATGCACCTTTTCCATGGGAAACTGGCCATAGCAAAATTTTGCTTTTAACCAATCACAAAAAGCGTTTATTGTGTGCTGTACAGTACTGTGTACAGTATTTGAAATTAATATAGTGGGGACAGGTTTTACTTATACCATATCATCACCATATCACCACGCCACCATTAATGAGCCCAAAAAGATAGCATTATACCACTTTTTCTTTTCCAGCATTGATGTCAATATTGGCATATGTAAACCTATACATTTTAAAATAAGCTATTGTAAGTACTTAAGATGACTAATATCTAAAAGTATTACATTCAAACAGCTCAAATACTTCCATACAGGAATAATGAGTATTGAGTAATGGTTTGAGTATTTCCATAACTGCTGATCTCCCGGGATTTCCATACACAACAGTCTCTAGTTTACTCAGAATGGTGCAATAAAGAAAAAAATTCAGTGAGCAGCAGTTCTGCAGACGGAAATGACTTATGATGATGATTGTCAACAGAGAACGGCCAGACTGGTTTGAGCTGACAGGAAGGCTACAGTAACTCAGATAATAATAACCCGGTAACGCTTAGCTAGCCAGTCCATCTTCTTAGGCTACATGCAGCCACAGTTATTATCTATTATATTGCTCTGCAAGCGATTCTGTGATATTTCAGGCTAGATTTGTTACAGAAGCTGATGGGCGTTATTTTTTCAATGATATTTGATACAGTATTTTCTGCAGGTATAGGATTGGTGCCACCTCTGCCGTCTGTATCATGCTGTCTTATCCCCTTACCTGTGTGTTGCAGAGCTTGTAGGACTTGGAAGGTCCAACACAGTTGTGTCCACCATCTGTCCTGTAAATAATATTGGGAAAAAGAGAGAAAAAAATTATAAAGGAAACCACACAAGCACATACACATTCACACATGCACATACATACCTCATGGTGTTGCAGACCCTTGTCCTCACAGCCACTCCAGTGCCGCAGGTGCGGCTGCAATCTCCATATGGTCCATATTCTCCCCAGTGGTCATCACTTGGCTGTCTCAACTATGACACACACAAAGAAAGTAAAAAGTAAACACAAGCTACTTCATAGAATGATGATCAATTCAAAGTCTCTACCACACATTCTTAGAGACAGTAAAGCAGGCCTACACTATGGTGCCCTACTGGTGATATTGTTTCTAAAAATAGTGCATGGCCACAACTGAGGTGTAGCATTGAGATTGTTAAGACATGGCACAACTCAGTAAAGCATGGAAACAAGATACTTAAGTCACCACTTAGTAAGGTATGGGAACAAAATAATTAAGTCATAGCCACAACTAAGTGAGGCACAGACACGAGATCATTAAGCTATAGTTATGACTTAGAATACCACAGGTATAACATCATTAAATCACAGCCACAACTTAGTAAGGCATGGGAACAAGATAATTAAGATATAGTCATGACTTTGTAAGGCATGGGGAACAAGGTAATTAAGTCATAGCCACTACTTAGTAAGGTGTGGGACAAGATTATTAAGTCACGATAATCAAGTTGTGGTCACGACTTAGTAAGGCGGTGGTATGAGATGATTAAGTCATAGCTACGACTTAGTAAGGAGTGGGTATGAGATAATTAAGTCATAGCAATGACTAAATAAGGCATGTGAACAAGATAATTAAGTCATAGCCAGGATGATTAAGTCATAGCCGCTACTTAGTAAGGTGTGGGACAAGATAGTTAAGTCACGATAATCAAGTTGTGGTCACGACTTAGTAAGGCGTGGGTATGACTTAATTAAGTCATAGGCGCTACTTACTAAGGTGTGGGGACAAGATAATTAAGTCATAATAGTAAGTTGTGGTCACGTCTTAGTTAGGTGAGGGAAGAGATAACCAAGTCATTCCTAAGGATTACTATGTTGTGCCCACACATTGTTTTTATTAACAAGTTATATCACCAGTGGGGCTCCGTAGTGTACAGATGAAACCTACATTATCACTAAAGAAAAACGCTCAGTGCTTTATCTGTCATGCTGCTCTTGCAATAGATCCCTACCAGCACTAGTGACAGCAAATAATCTTCAGCCTGTTGCAAGTTTTAGTAGTTGCCCAAACCTGGATAAATGTTTGTTTATACCTAGCTAAACTTTGTGATTTAAAAAAAATCTCACCAGACAATGAGCATCTTTAATTCATCTGCAGGTGCACGTATGCAGTGAAATTTAGATTAAAGTGTGAGCTTAGTTAAAGTACTTGCTGTTGACTGAGCATTGATGAATGGGAAACCTGGACTTATGTTAGTGATAGTTAGATCCCAGCACATATAACCAGGTAGGTGTTACTCACAGAGAGCACTGGAGCTGTGAGCAGGTACAGGACCCCCAGGAGTGACAGGAGAATCATCTGCACAAGGGAAACACACACAATGCCCAGCACTGACATTACTGAGGTAAAGCAAGCCTCACAGAAAGACCTTAAAATTTAATCTAATAAATGATGCATTTTTTTTTCTTTTCTTTTTTGCAACTACACTACTTTACACACATCTGTCTTTTATTTAGTCATTGTCCATTTTATCAGCTCCACTTATCATACAGGTGCATTTTGTACAATTACAGATTGTACTTGATCTGCTTCTTTGCTTAGTTTGTTAGCCTCTCATGTAAGTGTTGCTGCTGTCCTGAGACCAGTGCGCCACTCAAATAATACCCCCTGCTAGCCCCCTTTTACCACCACAGGACCACGACAGAGCAGGTTTTATTTGGGTGGTGGATCATTCTCAGCACTGCAGTAACACTGTTGTGGTGGTGGTGTGTTAGTGTGTGTTGCGCTGGTACAAGCGGATCAGACACAGCAGTGCTGCTGGAGTCTTTAAACACTCACTGTCCACTCTATTAGACACTCCTACCTTGTTGGTCCACCTTGTAGATGTAAAGTCAGAGACGATAGCTCATGTGTTGCTGCACAGTTTGGGCTGGTCATCCTCTATTCCTTCATCACTGCCCACAGGACGCTGTTGACTGGATATTTTTGGTTGTTGGACTATTCTCAGTCCAGCAGTGACACTGAGGTGTTTAAAAACTCCAGCAGCACTGCTGTGTCTGATCCACTCAGACCAGTGCAACACACACTAACACACCACCACCACATCAGTGTCACTGCATTTTTTTAATGCACAATTACTGTTTAATACCCGAATTTACCATTTTGGAAAAAAAAACAAAAAAACATAAAATATAGAGTGTGCAAATGTTATGGCACAGTTTCCAAAGTGTTCAATTTAGCAAATAAATAGAAATTGTGCACTCAAATCTACAGAAAATACCTTTTCTTTTAGGTGTTTTCAGTTAAGATTCCAGTTTCAGAACATTTCAGTTAAGTCTGCCTTTCAATGTATATTTCTTGACTGTTCTATGTCTATAAATGCTGTTATTTGATCCTATTTCAGTTCTTTATACTGACTAAGCGTAGAATTTTGTCTTTGAGAGGTTCTTACCTTGTCCTTCTGTCTCGCTCTGTGTCAGACGTTAATCCAGTCACTGCAAGAGTGAACTGATGTTTATGTCCCGCCTGGACTGCATATCTCTCTTCCCTGCACGCACACACACACACACACACACACACACACACACACACACACACACACATACATAAACACCTACAAAACACTTCACTTATGAAATCATAATTAACCCCTCCCAAAGAAGGAAAACGTCCTCTTTTGCCATGTCATGAAGTTTACACAGAGTAACAGAGCAGATGAACGACAAACTGTGTAACATTTCTCATATTTATAAAATGTCATACTTATAAAAGAATAAAATGAATAGGAATGGAAAAACTATTATATTGCCTAATGTTACATAAAATATTTAAATGAAAGGTTTCATTGCAAAACGCTGTATATACGGATATAAAGAATTTTTCAAAAGATAAAACAACTGATGTATAATGGAAAACACGTTCTAAATTCTCTATAAAAGGTGATATTAATCATAATATTACACTGATATTTTTTGTTTGTGTAAAGCCCACTCCCAACAACATATATTATGAAAAAAAACATCGATCTAAAGTTTTTACATTTTATAAATGTTTACGTATTGAGATCAGCATCAACAGATAAGACCATGGTGAAAGTCTTTTTTTCATTTAAACCTGGAAATAAACAACAGAAAGTTTTAGAATCTTGAAAAATAAAAAATAAAAAAGTTATGACAAGAAATATTTGAAATTCTGCACTATTTCTAGGTCACTATTCAAACTGAAGCATTAAGGCCTTTGTACAAATAGGTAAAATTCTTTGTTTTCGTTTTATTCCTTCCATTGAAACACGTGTTCAGACGATGGTTCTGGTGGATTTGTTATACTGATCAGAAGCTTTTTCACAAACTCTATGCTAACTTGGGCACTTTCTGTCATTAAAGCAAAAGGGGGACCAAATCATATACTTAGAAATTCTGAATATTCGTGTAAACATTCAAAGATTCTACTTTTCACTCAAAGTGTTATGCTGCATGACCCCACTGCAAGTATGTGAAAAATACTGATTATCAGAATCAGCCAATAATTGCTATATCAGTGCACCCCTAAAAATGCAGTTTTTGCAGTTTTTAATATTTCACTACTCAATAAAAAAACTTCAAAATTTCTGATATAGTCAAAAATATATCTATATATTTTTAATGAAAAGTACTCAGGGTGGCATTGGTGATGTTCCAAATACAATTTATTTATATCCATCTTATACAGACAGTGACAGACATGGTCATTAGTTCAGGCTCCTTTTACTCTTTCATTCATTTCTGCAACACAATAGGAGAAAATGTTCAAAACATTCATCAGACTATCCCTCACTGGAAAAACATAATTGATCTTTTACAAGCTGTTGACAAAAATCCAGTAAGTCTCCCTCAGGAGTCCAGCAGTGGCTTGCTGAAAAGTCTAGAAGATAGATAGACTGTGCACACGTGTTTATGAAAGAGAGATCTCAGGGAAAGTGTGGCCTTCATGCAGTGAGAGCTTTTTCAATGTCCTCACCGCAGATGATTCGTACCGCACGCACCATTGCCACTAAACACAGCGTATTAAATCATGGGGTGTGAGTGACTCTTCAGGCTCCATGGTTTGAAGATGCTATTTTAGGCTCTCTCGCTTTTCAACAGCCAGACAAACAGATACAGGTACTCATTTGGGGATTGGAAAGGGGGGCACTGGAACCATACACGCAGTACCAGCCTTAGCCCAAACACAGAGCCGGATGCAACAGTTATCACAGAGAGCTACAGACAAACAGAAGAGATTGCGCTTAATTCCAAACATTTTGAATTTGAATTTGAAATGAATTATGTTGGGTATTTCCGTGCTCAAGCTAAGTGAAGTAATGAAGGCTGAGCTTATACAATTTGAGTGGTTTAAGCTGATGAATAGGCCCTGTGTCTTTCAATGAAACAATGCAAAGTTTGCATAGCTAGCTAATTAGATTACTGAGGATAACATAGCAGAGCGTGGGCGAGTTCCGTTACTTTAAATAACAAAACAGCGTCATGGTCACCTTTGTTTCATTGTAAAGGCTTGAGCTGATGAGTACTTCTACCATGTACTGTCCACTTTTACTGCAAGTTGTGCATTCAATCTGGTAAATGTAACAGGACATACCGGTGAGAGCACTGCACTGAGTAGCTACCACATAAGGAACCTGTAGTTTGCCTACAGTGCATGCACTATATTCCTACATTAGTGCTTGGATTTTTGCAGGGTAGTGCCATCAAACCAAAGGAATAAATGGAGATGGCAAACATTATCAACAGTTTCCATAAAAAATATTGCAAACTTTCAAATGTTCATTGTGCTTTTTCGAAATTAAATTCAATCTACAGCTTCTTTCCTTGGCAGCCACTGAGGGCAAAAAAGCACAGTGCTGTACATGTTATTTTGGCAGTACACTCACAGGTATGTCCAGTTTCATTTCCCAGACTGAAAGCACTACTTGCAGTAAACATCGACAGTACAGGTACTCATCAGTTCAAGCCTTTACAATGAAGTAAAGGTGAAAATGAGAGTAATAAGACTTGATAAGGTTTTAGAGAAAATGAACAACTGAATACTTCCAGGCTCCTCCAACATATCCCACCTCCTTGACCCCGTTTTCGTTCTTTTTTTAACGTTCTTACCAACTTTGACTTACTACTCGGAAGTGAGTCACACCTACATTACACAAGTGGCTACTCACAGCACAAGGGAAAGAGGGAACAGTTAGGAGTGTTTTTTTTTCAATGGGAACGCACTCGCCCTCGGCTAGGTTATCCTCAGTGAGCTAAGAAGCTATGTAAACTTTGTGATGAAATGTAATGCTAGCTGTGTAGTCTGGCTAGCAAGCTAGCAGAGTAATAGATCTGCTACCATATCTAACAGATTGACTCGTTTGCTGTATAAATCCCTACATAACATTATTTTGAAATATTAAGTATTTTGTTAATATTTGCTATTTCAGGTTTAAAAGGAGGAACGTGATAGGTTGCGGTGATTTCTGGACAAATCACCCCTCCAAGTGCTCATCGAACACACTTCACTTGAGCTAATACAGTAATGAAGAAGTCAATAAGATGGTGTCAGGGATTCCCTCGAGTAAAAATGGCGAGGCCAAGATGATCAGATCAGGCTAAAATGAGTTCTGAACTGGATCGTCACCTGAATCGTCTATGTGTGATGATGACGATGTTGATGATCACCCTGTTAGTATCTTGAGCTTCCCACAGTGGTTCCCAAACAGCCTATCTAAAACAGCTCTTGACATTTAGTGATGACGTGTCCATAAGCTACAGATGGAGAAGCATGGCACAACTGTATTGTAGCAGGTTTTAACTGAGTCACCCTTCCTTTTGATAAAGTGCCAAAAAGTAGAACACTGCATGAAAGTTCCACTCTTTCCACTCTTTGTTCTCTCCATTCGTGTTCATTACATGGGATTTTTGAACCTTCCCATCTCCACTGTCTTCATCATTCACACTGAATGATCTTCAATTGCTTTGTCCCTCCTCAGAGCTGTCTGTTTAGTTTCTCGGCCTGCCTCTCTTTGGCATCGAGGGCGTATTTAGTGTCCTGGAGGTCCTCGATGATCTCCAAGGCTTCCTGCAGCTCCTGAGCCAGGGCGTCATATTTTTCGGTTAGTTCTCGGTTTTCCAGGCGCAGTTCGGTGATGTGTCGGCTAAGCTCCAGGTTCCAATGGGTGCAGTGAGATCTCAGATGCTCCACCTCCGTCAGAAGCACCTCCATGCTATTCATCAGAGTCTCCAGCTTCTCCCTGGCCGCACTCATCTCTCCCTGTCGCTGCTCCATTGTCCTTCGCTTCCTCTCCTCCTTTGAAACTTGCATGTGACTGGAAATACTGCTTCTGTCAGAAGATAACAATCAAAATCATCAAAAGAATGAGTGTAACCAATTAAGAGCAGTAACAGAGATAGAGAAACACGCCACACCTGTTTGAAACTGGAACTCTTAATAGATCGGATTGTAGGGTGGCAAAGCCAGTCTGTTTAATCCCATCCTCCTCCCTGCCCCTCTCTCTCTCTGTCTCTTTCTCTTTCTCAATATCCTGTGAATGTTTAAAGGCCTCAGTGACGTTTTGTGATCTGTAATCTCCTTACTGAAGCTTTCAGACACACACACACACTCACACACACACCTTGGCTATTCTCTGCCACAAGACACGCTCAATGTGTGTCATGCTGTCTAGCACAAAAATCTGTTTACACTGTTTTAAAGTCATGATGCCTGTCATGAAACAGGTATCATAATACATTTTCCTTCCAGACTATAATGTATTTACAAGTGAAACACAGTATAAGGGAGCATGTCTGAGCTGCTTTAAGTGGTTTCTAGTGTGTCTAAGCAGTTGCTAAGGTATCCAAGGTGGTTGCTGGGGTGTTACCAAGTCTTTGCTATAGTGTTTCAGGTGTTTGCTAGGGTGTGGCTTGGCAGTTGCTATGTTATCATACATGGTTGTGAAGCTATTGCTAGATGCTTGATGTGGTATCCTAAGGGAGTTTCTAAGTGGTTCATATGTGGATGCTAGTGTGTTGCTTTATGTTGCAATCTGGTTGCTGTATTGGAGTTGGTTGCTTGGTGTTTACTAGGGGGTTGCAGTGGTGTTCCAGGTGGTTGCTAGGATGTTACTAGGTGGTCGATATGGTATCATTGCACAATTGGAAAATAGTCAGTTCAAGGTATTAAGCAAACGAAGGAAAGTAGTTAATTTATGTAGTTAACATATTTTAGGTCATCCAAGTCTTAGTGCCAAGCAGCAACACCATGTGCCACTTGACTTCATCCCCCTATAATCCCTAAGGTGATTAGCAACTAGCACTTAAACACAAGCAGTGGGATCTGTAATGCAGTGGAATCTCCCCAAGAAGATCTCAGTACTTGAAAAATATAGAGCAGAGCACATGTTCTCAAAAAAAAAAAAATTACCAGTGCTTTATTGATGAGTAGTTGTGCTTGTGGCAATTGTAGGAATGTAGAAGCAAGTAGCATGTAAATAGATATAAAAGAAATGTATCAGCAAACTAAGTCACTTTTGCTGTCTGTATGACACCTAGGCAGTCTGGGGATTCTTTG